CTAAATAACTCTGTTCTGCTTAAAAAAAAAAAAAAGATCGAATGATTTCTTATCTACAGTGGTGTAATCAAGGGCAAAGTGATCCAAAGGAAAGCACTGTTAAGTAAATGTGCTTAAGTAAACTGGAAACTGATATTTTGACCTAACTGAAAGCCTAAACCCTTTCCAATAAAGACCTTTTTCCCCCAGTAAATAGTTTTCATTGAAGCATTTAAGGATAAAAAAATATTACTCTAAGTTTTTTTACATTGTTAATATTTCCAAGTGTTAAAGGCAAAAGCATTTCTAGAGGAATGGCAGACTGAATTCCACTGTGCATATTTTATGGGGTTTTTTATGATTGTCAGGGAAATTCGTAATATCTGGAGATTATTAAAGTTTGACTGTTTACCTTAACTCAGGCAAACTATGAGAGAATTCTCTTCCCTTATGGCTTTTGTTCTTTTTCCATCTGTGTCCTTTTTTATTTCACCAACACGTTTGTCACTCTACTTCTGTCGTTCTGTCTTTCAACATGACACTAGCTGTCTAAACACTCTTGGCTTCACTAAGAACAAAACCAAGAAATTTCACTCCTCAGTCCTCTCCTGAAAAAAACATCCTGAAATAATACTGCTGGGAGACAATATCCACTTTGGCTCCCATTATCACCTCTGCAGTGGGCTTTCCGGGAATTCATGAATCTCCTCACAGTTGAGAAAGAAACACAGAAACAGAATGTACTCAGGGGGCAGGGGGGATGTTATTTTTTTTTTTTTTTTTGCTTTTCTTTAAATAAGCTGCAGGACTAGTTCCAATTACCCTTGTGGATCTTTTAAGATTGCTCACACATTTAGATAATATGCTGTCTTCATCACAGCCATCCATACAGAGCTCACAGACAAATGGGGGGAAAAAAAATGAGTCATGGGGTTCTTCCTCCCAGAAGCTTAGCTGTATCTCTTTTTAAAAGGTTTTAACTGGGTTTCATTCCCAGTGTGTCCCTTTACATCTAAAAGTGATTAAAGAAGATTTACAGACAAATTAAATTATTTCCTATTTGTGAAATGCAATACTGTTCCAATGAAGTGATTCCATAGATTTCACTTTTCTGACCTTTAATTCCTTAAGAAAATTAATATCAGAATTAAAAGATTAAAGTGCTCAGTTGCAGCAAAGAACATCTTCTCTATGTACACTATTAGCTTTCACAAGCAAATTCATCATTTTGGAGCTGAGGAACAGGGCTTACTACGGTAGATTACATAGGAACTATATAAAAGAAAGGAACACAAGGATGAAATAAGGGAAAATACAGATATAAATTATAAATTTAGGTCTCAAAACTTTTTCTGGAATGTGCTCCTCTCTTGCCTCAAAGAGAGAAATAAATTTTTTCAAAATAACTCTGAACACAGTGACGATACACACCACTCGGTACGTGTGTGGGTGTGCGTTCTGGGAAGACAGCTGAAAAGTGAGCATCATTCCTACCGGAGATAACACAGTGTCATACTAATCGTCTTTGAACCAAGCAGTGGGAGGAAAGCCATGCAAATCCTTTTCTTTTGTTTTAGTAGGGAAGCAAGATTTTCCAGGTATCACTGATTCATAACATAAAAGCCAAACATACTGGATTGTGGCCACATACGTGTGATAATCTCATGTATTGGCATACACACACACACTCATCCATACCACGTACACAAAGTTTTCACGTATGCTGCAGTTTTCACATCCCCATAGTGCTCCAGTCACGTTCTAGACAATCACACAAAAATATCACTGACATTCATATAATGCATCTCTTCCAGCAAGGACTATAAGACCAGTACCTGATGCACCTATTAGAAAAACTGCATTGTGTTAGAGCCTTAACATTATGTTACAGAATAATCAAAGGTTAATCCGTTCATCTCTATTTTATGCATTGCTATCCACAGAGGTCCAAAAATAACATGCCTTGTACTGCACCCTCATTACATAAGTACGATATATATAGCACATGAGTTCCTCTTCTGTTTCAGAACAATCAGAATTGGTATAAGCATTTTGAGGTAAGAAGAGGTTTAGTAGAACTTGGTTCTATCCTGAGTAAGAAGACTGCCTAGTAATGACTGTGTTGTAGAAATGTCAAGGCTGAAATTAGCCGTGGGTGGAGATCTCTTTAAGGGGAATTAAGTAAGTGGATAATGGAAGTGAAATACTCTTAGTGTGGGGAAAAAAAAAAATAAAATCCTTGAACTCTGAAAGGAGACAGAGTTTTCTTACAAACATTATAGAGGAGTTAAAGTAATTTTAAGAGGACTAACAAATCTTAAGGAAAGTCAAAATAATTTATGGAGCATCATTTAGTACAACTCTTGATGTTGCTACCTGTGGGTTAAAATAGGAAGGCAGAAGGAAATAGTAACAGCAGCGCTGGTGAAGGGGTAACGTTCTCATCTTCAACTTTCCAGCCTCGAAATTTGGTTCCATCAGAGATTAAGATGCAGACTCGACTGCGCATGCTGCATAGATTTTACAGTCACTCATGACCCATGTAATGCAATGGCAAACACACTCTGAGTTTTGAAGTGGCAGCTGAGAACTAGGTTTTGTTTTTCAACAAAAGAGCAGGAGTGTATGTTTGTGCTTCTTTAGAGAAACTGCTTGAGAACATGCACTCCTAGGAGTGTCACACAAAAAATATGCAAAGTTCAGGGATCAGAAGGAATAAATGTGCAAAACTGGCACAGTTTCAGTAATAAAGGTAACAAATGGTAGACCTCTGAGATAGTCTGTAACAAGTTTCTACCTATAGTTGTGTTGTTAGAATAAACTCGTTTGGACAAAACTCTTCCGTGCAGCTTAAGAATACGTAAAAATGTGGAACAACATGATTTCAGAGGCACTTCAGGGAAGAACTGTTTTTTTTCCCTCACCATGGTAGAGGAAACAGGTCAAATAACATCCACCAAAAGCCAGTCCCTTTCACTGTTCCCTAAACTGACACTTACGTAGAAGAAATGACCAATGCCTGGATAATCTTCTACTATAAGATTTCCCCAGATAAAGTTTTATCTCTTAATTCATCTCTCATAACCTTCCTTTATGTTCTTCCCTCCTCTTTCACCTTAACACTTTTCTCCATTATTTCACCTTCCCTCTCTTTCGTTAATGTGTTACCTTTTATTCTCTTACTCTTATTGCACTTTTACCATCTTCTAAATCTCACGTTAACCAATTCCCTAGATTTTTATTCATCTGATTTTCTGACTAGTTTCCTTTTAAAGTTTTGGGTTTTTTTTCCTCATCATATTTTCAGTGAACACTCCTTGGACAGGGGCCACGTTTTTATTAAGGACTATAAATATTGCTCACACGCACAGATATAAATTATTCTGATACTAGCTTTTGTGACCAGAAATCATCTTTTCCTGTCTGCATATATCTTCATTTTCTTTTTTCCTAGAATACCAAACAAGTCACATTCATATCAGGATTAACTGCCTGCAATTTCCCTTCCTCCTTCTCCTACTTTCTTCTTTTTTTCTTCCTTTTCTTTTTTTAACTTTATTTTATTTAATTAAGCCATTTTCTTGCCTAGAGCTTGGCAAATATATCTTCTGAAAGCAGGTCCATATTATGTTTGTGCTGCTGTATAATTAAAAGTAACTTAACAAATTAAACCTATGTTTTGGTAAAAAACCTGACATGCAGGCTTGAAAATTCACATATCAATTTCAGCACAAGCAATTCAATGCAACCAAGATATGAAAATCTTTTGGAGAAGCGTTGATAAAAAAAATGAAGCCTCAGGTATCACCGTCTAGTCAGCACACCATACTTCCATTTGAAAATGACTTGGTACAACTCATTGTACTGAATGCGAGTGAGAGGATGGTTCTGGCTCCTCACATTCCTCCTCTTTTTAACTAAGACAGAATGGTGTTTTCAAAACTTTTTGATACGATGCTGCTTTACTTTACAAAGTGCCTTGGCACTCCTTCAATTATCTTGCTTTGACAGATGCAGTGAAATTGCTGAAAAGCATATTATCTTCAACATAATGCTAGAAAACATTAGAATTTACTCTGCATTTCATGAGCAGATTTTTATGTCTTTCCTTGTATTGAATTCTTATATTACCCTGAAACTGACTCTCTTGATTTGATGGGTTTACTTCCCTTTTGCTTTAGTGACAGCTAAAGAAAACCAGCATTGGATATGTGTATATCAGTAGGGACCGAGGACCTGAGTACATAACTATGTACAGACCTATACATTTGCAAATACAGAACAAGGGAAAAACTATGCAAAAAAACACCAAACTAATATATTAGTCCATGATGAAATAGATCCACACTAATCTGACAAAACGAATAAATATAAGTAAAACTTATTAAGAAGATTATTTCATACTCGTTTCTTTTTCTCCCCTTTCACACAGTTAATTTCCCTTTTCACCATCTTTTTCCACAGCTTTCTCTGTTTTTCCCTGCCATCTTCTACACAAACCCTATGGCTAATTGGTTAAGTCGACTCTAGGGTCTACCCATCAATTCCCAGACACGGCATCTTTCATTCCAATATTTTTGGCTGATTACAGTTGCACTTAGAGGAAAACAAATAAGTATGCATCAACATACTGCAAGTGCTACATCTGTGTATGAAAATACACAAACAGATAATTAAACATCAACAAAATATCAATAGGATTAGAGTGTCATGTTGGAACAAATCTTGATAAATCCTTCTCAATAACAATACTCCAACTACAGCATCATAAGGGGAATATAAATTTAGCCCATTAAAGTGCTGTTGGATAAAGAAAGACACATTAATACATCTGTTAGTCGTTTCCTTACTACTAAGGGACTCAACTATTGTGCTGCAGATGAAAGCTTTGGCCAAGAAGAGATTTGAAAATATGCAAATTAATGCTAACAACATAATAAATATCTTATTATTCATCAACAACTCAATGGCATACTGGCAGAGTTTAATCTGTGAGTTCATTGATGCTTAGACTTACATACCTACAACAGACATTTCTGGAACCGTGGCATGATATGGACCATCAACAAACTCTGGGGCATTGTCATTGATGTCTTGAACCTTAATAATGAATTCTGAAGGAGGCTCCAGAGGTTTGTTTGTGTCCCTGTCGACTGCTTGAGCCGTTAGAGTGTATTCAGCTTTTTCCTCGCGGTCAAGCCTTTTCATTGCATGAATGTCTCCAGTCTTGTCATTGATCACGAAGATTGTTCCAGCTCCATCTCCTGACAGAATGTACTTGATTTTGCTGCTGCCAGGATCCAGGTCTGTGTGTAACTAAAAGGAAAAAAAAAAAAAAAAGTATTTTAGAGACAAAAATTACACCCACACTTTTTTTTTTTTTTACATTGGTCTAACCATACATTTTGTCAAGCTATTCTTTTGTACTTTAATCTTAGCACCAGTGATCCATATCTCAGCTTGAATATATAGGGAGAGTAGGGATTTGTATGCATACTAATCAAAAGTGGATGTAATCATAGGCATAATTAGACTTTCTATTTAAAAGGCAGCTGTTATATATATTTTAAATCCATTCTAAAATGTAAATGTCTTCAGAACTATTATCAGCCAAAATGAACTAGCACAGAATGTCCTTATTAGATCAAAGGGTGAATGAAGTATTAACAATATTATATACTTCATTCTAGTTTTGTATTTTTAGTAATTCCTTTCAGCTTATTTTCAGGTGTCTGAAAATGGCTAAGCACTGGCATCTATGTAGACATTGTACCGGACAGCATTCACAGCAATTTAGAATTGTATCATAACTCAGCTGTTAGCAGAACTTAAAAGGTTCCAACATCTTTATTCTAAAAGTACTTCCCTGGAAAAAAAGCTTTGTTAAAGCATGTTTTCCGAAACATTAGAAGAACCCTTACACACATCTTCCCATTCTCCTCAATGCCCCATTAGAAAAAATAATATTTAGATTGCACTTTTCAAAAAACAAGATCAGATGATAATAACCTGAAAGAGTATGGTTTTCTTCTTTACTTTGATTTTTTTTTTTTTTTTGTTAATTAAAAGCCTGAACCAAAGAACACTGGAGACAAAGGACTTCCATAGATTTTCTGTAGGCTCAGAGCCAAGTACTAAATATCAGGTCATCTCCAATAATTTTTAACTTGCGAGGGCGAGCGCACCAATTGGTCGACCATATGTATTAGTGTCAACACATTCAAAAATACAGGATAACAACTTAAATATACAGTAACAGTGCTTTAAATCCTATTTGCTATTAAATCTAACACACTCAACATGAACAATAAGAATTGAATAACATCATTAAAAATGTAACTTGCATTATTATTTTTCTCTGCGTCACAAAAGATAGTCTGAAGCAAACATGTACAACCTGTTCGGGACAGCTGGAACATGAGTTACAACAGCTATTACCAGACTTATCCTCGTTTGCTCATTTTTGTGCAGAGGGCTCAACAGACATTGTTGCTGGTTATGCATTTTACTCTTCAGTTGATAGCAGTGGTTGCTAGGGCCACGCAGCATTGTCTGTTGATATAGGAACCTGTATTAGGATGTTAAAACAGGTGTGGAAAAAAAGCCTGGTAACAGTGGCTACAGCCATGGCACAAGTAGAGTTTTATGTCCTACCACAAGTAGGCTCTGCAGGTTCTTCAGCAGACAATTGGTCACATGCAGTTCTATCTGCAAATTAGCTGTTCAGGAAGAAGAGCTTAGAAAACTTGTTAACAGCACCTTACAAAAAGGAATCTGGAATTCTTGCAATGAGCAGAGTGGACAGTGGCAGTCACGTCTGATTTTCCAGTTGATCTGTTTTTTTTTTTAATATGGACAAAATCCTGGGCCACCGGTGGATTCTCTGGTAGCAGAACTCCCACCGACCAGAAGATGTGTAACTTCATCCCTCTGTGTTTTGCTGGGAGCTTTAGTACATTATTACCACATCAGCCATTACCACACCATTGTTTTAGAAACTTTTTAAGAGCACATTAACTGTCTATGAATATGCGTGACTCGGTCCAGTTCACGCTTCCTACCCAACCCAGGTGACCATACACAAAGACATCAAGTGATAGCTGAGTCCTTTTTCCAAAAACTCAATTTTTTTTTTGTAGTTGCCATCAGTTTTTACTTGAGAACAATCAACATAATTTATGTCATGTTAACTTGTTAACAGCACTTTCCTGTTTGTTTGTACTGCAGTTTTTTTCTGCTCAGTGAGACACATTAATGCATTTTTTTTTTCCTCTTAAAAATCATTGTCCTTATAAGCAGGATTATACTCAATCTAGGTGTCAGCAACATAAATTATTTTCAGGGTCCCAAGGCTTGTCAAGATCAATCAAGAATCTGTTTGTGTTTTAAACAGATAATTTATACTTTAAGCATCTATTTAATCCCTAAACAAAACCTCTACGTTATTAACATTGCATATGAAGGTTTTGGCAGAACATTCATAGCTGAATTACAGTGGTGTCATGTCGAAGCATTGCCTGGATACACGCAACCCAGCACAGCAATTGGGACCATCTCAGTTCACCCAGCTACACAGAGCCTTACAGTGAGAAACCACAATCTGAATTTCTAAGGCGGCACTGGCTAGATGAACTAGATATCCCACACAGATATTTGAGAACGCTCAAAGATTCTCCAATTTGCTAACAAGTAAGAGAGGCTTTTGGCATAATCTCTGGTGTAAGTTTTACCCATATTATCCAACAGAAGTTATGGTTCATAAAACAGTTCTAGTATAAATTAATGTAGAGCTATGAAACCTTTGCAGTGCCAGTAAGATACCAACAGTTAAAATGAAAAAAGTTGGTGATTATTGTTAATTATTTCTTCTAATAAGTTAAAGTCCTTTGCATCAAAAGAAAGAAACATATGTTGCTATTTGAAACACTATAAAATGAAGGACTAAACATTAAACAAAAAAAGGAAGAGCTAGAAACATTTCAGAATCTTAAAGCTGAAAGAAAGTCTGATTAGCAGATCATTTTTTTACCCAAAGATTAATAGTGACAAAAAGGATAGGAAATTTTTTTCAGTTTCTAATAAAAAACAAGCCATAAATATGGCACTTACTGAAATCATATATGCTTTTTATGATAAGTATCCAAGCTGACAGATTAAAATATCTTTTCTAGGTTTTGAAGTTCTTACACTATAATATCAAAATATTATAACAAATGATCTAGGGAAGAGCCATTTCTCCAAAATAATTTAATTGTTTGGATTTAGGATTAAAACATCATCACCTACTTATAAAGTTAAATCACAGAACTGAAGTGAAATTCTAACCCACAAAGCATAATATTTTTTTCCAAGTAGTATTTCCTCTCTTCTACCAGATGTGAATGATAATTTACAGCAATTGTCGAGCTTCAGCAAGCTGTGTTCGTGTGAAGGTTAAAGATCATTAAACACATAATTATACGGGGTCTAGGTGAATGACAGAGAGGCATAATGAATACGATAAATGAATATCAGTTTCTGCTGAAAAAACCTCACAAATGTTGTAAATGTGAAACTGCTTTCCATACCTATAGCTTTATTTGTTGTGCCCATGCTTGAAAGCTGACCTCTCACTGTTCAGAACAGTAACAAGAATTGTAAGAACTTCTATTTTAAAAAGGAGACACCTATAGCCAGCTCTTATGTCCTACTACCAGACAGCATCCCAAAACAAACAAAGAAGCATGTTTACTGGAAAACTTAATCATGTTCAGAATGAGTCAAACTAACCTCCTTTATGTGAGATTCAGTTAATTAGACTTCAGAGGAAGTGAAATCTTCCTCCGTCACTGTCTTGCCTGTGAGACTGTCAATTCAAACATCTCTCTCCCTTAAAGTAGTAGATGCAACCCCATCGCCCAGTTCACGCCTGGATGAATGGCCATGCAGATGCCCTGTGCTAACACCCTGCCAGTGGCTCCCATGTAGCCTCAGTACAGTCCCAGCCCTAGAAAATGAACTTTGTTCAAAATGAACCCTCTGAACACCACACTTTCTAATAATTATTAATTACTTTGCTATTCTGTGTTATAACCAGATGACAATGAAGCCAGTATAAATAGTAACAGCACACAGCATACTCCCACAAAACTAGTATTATTTACATGAATAATGAATGCATAAAAGTATTGCCAACACACTATTCAAATATATAACATATATTTATAGTCTCCCCCATACATACATTACAAACATGCATAATTACAATCAATGCAAGAGAAATTGTATAGATGAAACTTATTCAAAGAGCCTCTATATTCTGTAGATGTAAAAGTACTACTCTGCAGTAAAAAACTAATACATGAGCATGTTAGTGATATTAAATTCTCCTATTCCACAGATGTTTGTTTATCATATTTTAACCACAATTTCATAACAAATACTTGGTTCAAAACTATGGATGCAGCCAATGTATGGATGAAGGCTGCAGAAACTCCAGGCTAGGCTCGTGAAGTTCTTTTGCAGTTCTGAGTACACAGAGAGATTCACGAGTCTCTTCTGCAGATGGAAACTGTCTCACCTGCTCTCAGCCAGCTACCTGGCAAATCAACGGCAGTCAAAACAACAGCTTGCTCAGCACAACAAATTTCATGTTCAAGCCATGCGTTCACCATCAGGAAAGTCTGGTCCATACCCAGAATTAGTAGAAAGCTGTTGAGTGGCCCTTGTAGTAGGATTGGGCACTTTGAGTCCTCTCCGGGTGTTTGTTGATGCACAACTTGATACAGGCTAGCCCTTGATGAGATGCATCATCGAAGGGAGGATTTGTAACCCCAATTTCCTCATATTAGTAAAAAAGCACAAATATATGAATAATTCACAAGAGGTGAAAAATCTACATATTATGAAAATGCTCCAGGTCATTTTTAATTAAGAAAAGAGAAGAAGGCATTATGTAGTCAAGTTTTGATTTGAGTTTTTTAGAAAGTAATTAATTCATCCTCGTGTAATTACAAAGGAATTACCCCTTACTTGTTTCAAGGGAAAAGACATAATCTGCCCTTAAAACTTCATTTTAAAATTTGCATCATTCTTCTCCTTCCTAACTCTGGAATCTTTTTTAGGGGATTAACTATTGCAGCACAGGTTTTCACCTCAGGCTACACAACACACCAACACTATCCTAGTGCTTCAGGTTCTTCTATTTTTGTACCTGTGCCTTGCAATAAAATTCTTCATTTATGAGACACACTCCATTTAATGAACTCAGAGACAGAATTCTCATCTTTTATGACTCTTCCAAAACTGCTGGGTTCTAAGAAGTTCTAGCTCATTCT